TATAAATTAACTTAAGCCAAAAGGTATATAATTGTCTGTTGATATTTTGAATAAGTTATGGCTTTTAGGCACACATGCCTTATGAAATCATAAAATGTTTTAAATTTTCAGATGTATTAAATCTTCGCAACCCCAATTTAATTAAAGTAAATGTACAGCTCTAGATTCTAGAACAATTGTCAATCATTTCAATTAAGTTCGAACTTGGCACTATATTACTTTAAAGCTATTCATCACGAGGTGTTAAAGACGTTTATAGCTGTTTCTGTTTCATCCCAAGTTCATTACAAGAGGCCTTAGTAAATTAAACAACCACATTGTTTGTCTGAGAGGCGAAAAGTGTGAATAGATATTGATTTAAATGTTTAGGAATTCAGGAAAAAACTTGTATTTTCAAAAAAAACTGCATCGGGCTGAAGTTGGCAACAGGTTTTTAGTCACGGGCTGAAGTTAGCTTTAAGTTAGTTGACAGTTGTCAAATATCATACAATCGTTAAAATAATTATAATTAATTGAAATTCTATTCTATGCTAAATATTTTCTTTTCAACCAATTTTTAATTAAAATTATAAAAAAGCATTGCGTCCAAAGCTAATACTATGCTTAATTTATGTTTCAATTACTAAACATTTTTGGTTTATTAAGCACATAAATATTTAATAACTCACAATTTTTATTTAAAAAAATTAAAGACCCAATAGTTTTATAAAACATGTAACCGCAAACTTTATAAAACTCTTTTATAAACCTACTGGTAACGGGTACTAAAGGTTATATAAAATGTTTGTAGAAACAATTAAATAACCTAATTATATACCTAGAGTTTCCAGTAACCTTATATGACCATTATAAAACTAGTAAACTAAATGTTGATTTTATAAAACCTTGTTAAACTCTTATATAATTTGACAACTCTTATATAACCTTTTATCGTTGCCATAAATAGTACAAATTGTTAATTGGGAAAGGTTTGGGAGTGCCATTGGACGGGCGTCATTAGATTTTTTATTATAATATATATATATATAATATTTGAAATGTATTCCTTTTAGCTTTTTGCCATTTATAATGACCTTTAAGATTATTATTTATATGAAATTTAATTTAACAACTGCGTCATGTATATTATAAATGTGTCAGTTTGGTTTCTGTTTCCCAAGAACTAATTAATATTGGCTTAATGGCGCATTTACATGGCCTAATGTATGTTAACATATTAATCTGTTTGTTTAGCTAAACTGTTTTGAATGTAACCGCAATATCTTGAGATTGACCTTGGAAAATCAAATAAATGTTTTTGAAAAATCCGTTTGCGTAATAGTATATTATGTATCAAGTTTTGATAAACGCCATTTTAGTTACGAGTTTAATTAAGAACGAGCGAAGCTTGCGAGCGAGTTTTCAATAAAAACGAGTGTCTAAAGAAGTTTATAAAACGAGTTGCATACTATACTTTATCTACGACGAACATAAATAAGATTTTAAAGCCAATTTTAATTGACATCCGTCAAATGTCAACAGATTTAACCTCACTTTTTCCCAATTAATATTAAAGCTAACTTCAGCCCGTGACTAAAATGACCAAAAGCCACTGTTGCTAACTTCAGCCCGTGACTAAAACGCCATAAAGTCACATCTTATCAATGGTGGAGTAGATAAAATAACTTATACCACGTAACATGGCTACCTGGGTATCGAGTACACGTTCACCAGATATGTGTGTCTCGGTATCAACGCGTCGCGGCGCTTTGGCTTTGGCGCCAACACGTGTGTTTTGTGTACCAATGGCACCGAAGCGCTGTCTAATAGAAATCGTGACTTTGTCTCTCTATATAATTAAGCTATCACATCTATAACATTGATAAGATGACAGATGAGAGATTATTATTTTGTCCCATGCCGTCACACAGTGATTCCAACTGAAACTCTTGCTAGAATTTAGTCCAAACTTCTATGTGACGTGTATTCCATTTATTTTTTATTTTTTAGACTTTAATAAGTATTTGTAGTAGAAAAAGTATAGTATGCAACTCGTTTATAAACTTTTCTAGACACTCTTTAATTAAGCACTCGTTCGCAAGCTCGCTTGTTCCAAAATAAAACTCTTGACTAAAATGATTCATAATATACTATTAAAATCACATACCAAAATGTGTGGTTTTGGAGATTGTAGATTTTAATTTTATATATTACTGTGCATCTAAAATGATTCTATTCTACAGAATAATATACTGTTATTAACTTAATTAATATTGTTGAACCTAATATGTTTATTAGAATGCTAAAATTAACCCCGGCGCATTCTCCATTTTTGCAAATAATATAATATAATAAATATAATTTCAACATAAATATAAGTATAATATACGAATATAATTGTATTAAACTAAACACGTTAAAAACAATGCACAAAAGGCTGGCTTTGTTTAATAAAAGTTAATTTTAGAGCCGGCATAAAATTAGTAAAAACAACGGCATTGAGTTTGATATGTCAAATAGAGTTTGGCCAGTAAAGGTAAATCTATTCAGTGTCACAGAACACGACATTTAAAGGTCGACAGTGCTGTTTATCGATATTATGTATATTATAACAAAATCTTTGTTAAAATTAGTTACGTGATTCCTACTGCAATTTTTTGACAGCAAAAGTTTTGCTAAAATAATATACAAAATACAATTCAAAATAAACTTTATTTTAATAATATACATTATTTGGTAAGTTAAAAAACAAATGCACAAAATAGTATATTATGTATATTATAGTATATTATATGTATAGTATATTATGTATCAGGTTTTGATAAACGCCATTTTATATAAAAGTTTATAAACTATACTATACTTTTTCTACGACAAATACTTATAATTATCTTAAATTGATTTAAATCAAAAATTTGTATAGAGCGCCATCTATGAAACAATAGGGGAATCTGTGTGTCACCGTCAAATGTCAAATTTATATACTTTATAAACACAATTATAAAGGTTATAAATCGAAATGTATTTCTTAAAATTAACAGTTTTTCACAGTGAACGTAAAGAAAATGTTTTATGAGCACTTTACAGTGGAGTCCGTGCCCGAATTTAAGTTATAGTTTACTGCGGGCGAAATTAAAAGGTCAGTACGCGTTGAATACTTTTGTACTTTTGTATTTTTGTATTGAGATAATAAAATAATTTTCACATTTAGTATTATTTTACAAGAAATGCACTTTATTTTAACGATTATATGACATTTGACAACTAAATTAAAACTAACTTCAGCCCGTGACTAAAGCGCCACAGCTCGTCAATGTGTATTTAAAAGGTGTCATGTGTCATGGAAACATGGGAGTAGAAAAAAATATGAATGTACCTATGCAACTTAAAAGATATTGTAATAAAATGAATTTAAAAGAAAAAATGCGGTTTAGCGAAACACTTGAAAGGCTTTTTAAAATCAATATAGGATGAAATATTTTCCAAATTCATATATTAAGGGCCCGTGGAAGTTTTCTTGCGATAAAAGTGGTATAATAACAAGATATGAGTATCCATTTTAAATAAATCACTCTAGGCCTCACAATACGATTGATTTTAACCTTAAAAAAATAATATTCAAATAAATTTAGAATAAACAAACGGAATAATGAAAATGCAAATATAATTAAATTAAAAATGAACGCATGTATGGCTTTTTGGAGATGTTAATTTAATATTTCTTTGTTGTACCTTCAGTTAAAATTCTACGTATTTTGGTAAGGTAATAAGACCCAAATTATTTAAATTAACCATGTCATGGTTTCGTATGTGAGACATAAAAGTAATTTTTCTGTGGCAAATCTTAATTAAAAGCATTATCCTAGTAGATTAGAGTGGCATATCAGTGTAATGCAATTATTTCGGTAAAAATAATTACAACGAAGAAAAGCTATAAATTTTGTTATTCCCGAAGCAAAAAAGGGTGTATAGTATATAGAAAGACAAGAATGACAGCGTGCCCGGCTCGAAGGACCACGCTGCCTGAATAGTAATAACGTTTCACAAGCCAGAAACCCGAACCCCCCTCTTCCCCAACGCTCACACTTAACTATACAGACTGACTAACGTCTCCTTGCAAAGAATGCCGAAAAATCACCTTCAATTAATAATTGTATGGTTTTATTTTACCCATTACACATTTAGTGTTTAATCAATTATCCAGTTTCTTGCTGCAAAATACGATGAAAACTTAATATCGAATTTAAATAAAACACTTAACCCTCTTTATTAAATTCATAAAACCGATTATATACCTATCTAATTTGCATCTAACACTCTTGCTTTAAACATTTTAACTACTTTGCACGCAAAAATGTCGCATTAAACTTAGGAACTCTTGATGAGATCTACCAGATTCACCCTAAGTATGGGAAGAAAGGGCATGTTGTGCCTGTTTATTAATATAAAATGATTTTTAAATCAAATTTTAAAATTTTAAATGCTCGACAGCTTTACGAAAGCACTGACTGAAAGTAACTTTTGCTTCGATTTGACGGCAAAAAGTTGATGGAAAGATTAACTACGATGATGCGATCTGTTGTGCAGAGCTGTGATGTGCTTCGTTTAGCGGACGTTAGAGCAGTTTTGCGGGCGTGATGAAAGCCTGAAGGCATCGGTATTATGTGGTATCGAACGTCCCGATTATAAATCAGAAACTGTTAAATATTGAAGTCGCACAATAACCAGACCCAAACCTTTCCATTATAGAATGTCGGATACATGATACTGCAATTTTTTTTTTAATTGCTTGAAGATCCATATATTTATTAAAAAAATATATATATAAACAATTTGTCTTTTTAAAGCTAGTGGGAAAGTGTTGACTGATACATGCAGTTAAAAGTTGTGTGGACCAGTGTAGGCAATTGTAAATGCCGCATCGAAGGTAGCGTAGGTAGAGTCTGACTGAACGTTCCCTCACCAGTGTTTGTCTTAGGGAAAGTGACCTCCAACCAAATCGTCTTACCTGCACAGAACAAACCTGTGTGTTGGGTACACTGTAGTAGTTAGTTGGCATCAACATTTACGTGCGTTTACTTATTTTAGTGGAAATGTTATGAAAGTGACAAAATCATGCCCAGAAAATTGTTGAAGTTTTTAATTCTTTTTGACAACACCTCTCTGTTGTATTTCCCTGGACAATTTTTATCTGGAAGGGTGCTAATAGAGTTACAAGAGGACACACCCGCGCTAGGTAACCAAAATATTTTACTCATTTATTTCAAATCTCCATATTTGTTGATGTTTAGAATACAAAACAATAAACCTTGAAAATTACCTAAGCCAACTAAAATGCGGGGGTCTCACATTCTTTTCATATGAATTTTATGATTAAAATGCATTTATTATATAACCTTTTTTTCAATTTGACATTACACACAATTGCAAAATTTACTTTTTGTCTTCATGACCCATTTCCGTTTATGGATATATTTTCTACTCTTTCTTAAGATTTAAAATATATCTTTATTAATTACCTATTTATTATATGTAAATAACTATAGGTGTTATTATTAATAATAAATTAAAATTCAATACATATGTAATACATACAATATACATACATATTATGATAAATTATGTTCAAGAATTTTAATTACATATGCATTAATTTTATTAATATAAGTGTTATTTATAAAATCCACATGACTATTTGAACTAGGATTAATAAAATAATTTATATTATTAATATCAAAGATCATTTCGACAAAGTTAATTAATAATTTGTAAATCCAATTAATTAATTTTTATATCCATATTTTTAATATTTTTTAAGTTTAGACCGACCATGATGATACATTATAGCGAGAGAAATTAACAAATTTTCTATGAAACGTTTTTTTGTTTATCATTGTAAGTAAGCCAGTAATTTAGAAATCGAATTCTCGAGATGGAAGAGCCATTTTAAATTAAATATTTTTATAGGTTTCTCTTTTTTTTATTATTTAGTTTCAAACAATTTTGTACAAGAATAAATGAGAGATATTTCCGTACCTTGATGACGTAAAATTTTACTACATAGATGTCTGTGTTTGGTAACCTAACTTTGGTAAAGAAGGTGATGACGCAAGGTAAAACATTCGCCGACAGCACGTTCGCTAAGTGTGTACGCAGCTTTACCCTATTTATGTATGTGTTTCGTTAATAATTCTTATTTTAATGCTCTGTGTTGAGGAAAAAATGCGAAATTGCTTTCTTTAGAAGCCACATACTATCAATTGATACTTGTTTTTTTTCTGTTTAACGTCAACTCAAACACACACACATAAGAGAGAAAAAACAACAAGTATTTACTTGTAAAACTTCCTTCTGTTTAATAAAAAATTGCCTTGGGTAACGAAAGACATAATGCAAATTGAATTTTTTCCAAGAGCAACTTTCGTACATGTAAGCCTCGCTTTAAACTAGTGCTTCCGATCGGGATAAAGAATATGTCAACAAATTTAATATTATATTAAGCAAGAGCTCTAAAGAATTTTAATTAAAAAATAGGTAAATATCACTTTAAATAAAGTAAATCATTTTGTTATTGTTACAATGTTTACCTACTATGTTTTACAGTGATTCAGATTTAAAGTTTAGATAGAAAAAACAATAAACATTTGTAAAAAACGTTTTCATTAACTTCTAAGATAAATACATTAGGCAACCGATATGACACAGTGTTTTGGTTCGTAAAAAGTTGGCAAAACTTGCTGTCAAATAATCCTCGAGTAATAAAACCAAATTACCTATTTACATATTTACTATAACTCAAAAGTTATTAAGGGTGGCTAGTTTTTAATTAAAAGCCCTGTATATATACATATATGTATATGTATAATAATTTTAACTAATTAATATTTGGCGAAATTGTATTCAAAAATATGAAATCAACCCAGTGAAAATTATGTAATTGACAGGATTAAATAAATTCGCAGTAAAATTTATTAGTTTCAAAATCAATAATTAATATTTAATTATACATATATAAACTGCATATTTAATGGACCAAGAGATTTTGTTGCTAATAAATATTTACATTTTTTTAATATTTATCAAACATATTACAACAATTTTTCTTTGATTAAATGTCATTAGCTATTATTATTAAACAATTTTCCATACTATAGCATAAATAGGTTAATGTGAATAAACAAAACGTTTTTTTAATTAAACGATCATTAAAATAATGAAGTAATTAGTTTACCGGTGCAACAATAATAACAAAAGGACAAGAAATAATAATAATAACGGTAGGTCAAAAATTAAAATATTTGGTAAAATATGAAAATAGTAGCTTACATAAAAGTATAATTAACATTGATTTAAATATATCACAGGGACATTTTTATTTTTGGGTATGATGCGACAATTAGTAAAGAATTACCTATACCTACATTTCAAATATCGAAAATAAATTAAAATAAATAAAATGACGCATTTTATTGACACTATAGGTTTTGAGCATCGTAACTTATACTATCGACTATAAACATCGCGACAAACCGAAAATAAAACAATTTGCACAAATTGCGGTAGATCAACCAAGTGTGAACGATGGTCTTCAGATATCTTGTATTTTATATTCTAAGAGTCTATTAAATTTTACTCTACCTATCTACTAAAAACGCAAACTTCAACTATCATGGGTTAAATTAGAATTAACATAATATATGGGTGTGTTTATTTGTTTATTAGTTGTACCATTACCCCACTTGAGTTTATTAGAGTTAATTCTCAAAAAACATTTCGAAGAAACTTTAGTTAATTTATCAAAATCTAATCTAAAATTAAATGAAATATACCGTCTAGGTTAAAGGCGAGTCATCATTTTAAACGCTGACATTATTTTACATAATTTTATTATTAAATTTATTTCGCTATTTCTCATCTTTACTATTACAACTTTTACTATTTCTTGAAAGTGAAGAACTTAAGGGGTTGTAAAACTTTGTGAGACGAAAAAATATACGGTTTTGTTTTGTTGTAATCATAATTTTATTTAAACAAACTATACTGACTTCTTTGTAAAACAAATTTTATGAGAAATGAGAAACACACTGTATAAGCCATATAAAGTCGAAAAAAATAATATTCAATTTTACAAAACTTTTAAATGTTTCCAGGTGCATAAGTTTTTATGAAGCTAATAACAACACACAGAGACAAGAAAAGAAAAGGCAGACAAAGTTGCTGCTAAAAATAATAAACGCTTTTGGGCAAAACTAAATTAAAACTTCGTAAAACGATCATTTGGTAGATGATAAAACTTGAATCTCGAGTTTAAGAGATTTTGCTTTCCATCAGAGATGGGAAGTTTGCAAGCGGCAAAGTCATGCTGGCTGCCTATCTTGTGCAAGCTTCTTAAGAACTACAGCTTATATTTTACGCGATTGATTTTATGAAATCAGACACTGTTTCAAGGGATAAAGCTATTTAGGTTCTCATCAACACGGCAAAGCGTGATTAAAAATTAAAAATAATTGTTTTTGCTTATACAGAAAATAAATTTTATTGATTAATTGTTTCGACTTTTACTTGATGAAACTCCATGTTAATATTGTTTTATTTTAATATAAACTACACTGTTTAAAAGTTTCACTATTTTATTTAAATATGACAATTGTTTCGCTACACAGTAGCATCTTCAGATCTGAAGATGCTACTGTGTAGCGAAACAATTGTCATATTTAAATAAAATAGTGAAACTTTTAAACAGTGTAGTTTATATTAAAATAAAACAATAAATTTTATTGTATTACTTCAGTAAATGAATGTTTTTTCGCGTATAACTCGTCAACTATGGGTTTTAGCGATAAAACTATTCCATACAAAATTAAAGCTGACAAAATTTGGAACAAGATTAATTATATTAATTTTTCCGCCATCTCGCATGGTTTTCGAGATATTTGCCCCAAAATTCGCTAATTTTGATTAAAAAAAAGTTTCCTTACGTTGTTTGCCTTATTTGACTAGCTAACTCGAGATGGCAAAAAAATTAAAAAATCAATGTTGTAAAAAAATGTGTCAACTTTAATTTTGTATACTGGTCTTATCGCTAGGACCCATATTTTTCGAGTTATCCTAGAAGTGGGAATTTTAGTATACTTGTAACTAGTTCAAACAAAGTCCTAAATATTGTGATCCTTTCATTTTTCTTCACAAACTTTTGTTGACTGGACAATATATTGTGGTTACCAAATTTGTTTTGCTATACAATTATTTTGTAAATTAGTACTTATTTAACCTTCTAAAAATATATTTTACCCTAATATCACACACTAACAATTTGCAGACAAAGTATTTTTATTATGATTAAATTTACTAAAAATTTTCAACATATAAACATTTTATCTCCACGCGGTCCATAATTTAAACTTTATTGTTGTCAACATTCGATAAAGAAATACCTTGTTATGGCCTAGGTCGATAAAAAATTTTATGAGGCAAGTAATTAGAATCCTTTTCTAAGAAATTAACGTACTAAACTGGTTTAATTTATTTATAATAAGCACCAATTTGTTTGTTTTACTGTTAATGTTTAATATTTTTCATTAAATTATTGTAAATTAAATATGAATAAGAAAACAACAAGTGAGGTTAGGCAACCAAGAAAACGCACGATTCTTTTTCTACGATTTAAATTATCTCTAAGTTTTAATTTGCTTTAAGTTTTCAGTGAAATTAAATGTTAAACACAGCTTAAACATTCCAAAACTACCCATTTTTTAAATAAAAATAGATACCTACCTATTTATTAAACAATCAATTGAATTCAATGTAATAGCAAAAATCCATTTCTACTTAAATCAAGTTGCTAGGTATTGTCAAACTATTACTGCTTCTAAAAGCAATAATAATTATTGTACATTAAATGTCATCTTTAGCTAATAAATAATTGAGATTCTAAAAAGTGAGGTTAGGCCGCTTTGATGTTGAATTAAATTGACCTATATAAAGTGCTTTGAAGATAAAATGTTGTATGCCATTCGGCCAAGAAGTGCCTTTTTGTGCTTCGCTCAATTGTAGGCCTCCGCTACGCGTCGGCCTTCAAACCTTGAGCTTAGCACAAAAAGCCTTACTCTTAACCTAATGACATAAATAACTATATTTTCTAAAAATTTATCTGGTTGATCGTAAAATATTTATTTTGATTCTTTTTTTACTTCCAAGTGCATTTTGTTTTAAAAATTTAAATAATGAATTTATCTGCGAAATATATTTAAATGAAAGTACTATTTTACTAAATAACCCCATTAGAAATATGCATGAAGGCGATTTAAAATATTGTTGTCAAGTTTTGCATTTTTAAGCCATTTAATCTATTGTTTTATAAAAGTTTTAACTAAGTATGAATATTACTTTAATTATACTGCACATTTATAATTGTGTTCTTTTTGCATTTCTGTAAAAAAAATTACAGTTTAAAGGAAATTATTAAATTATATTTGAATATGTTGTTATTATAATTTTGTGGGTTTATGCCAAAAGCAATTTTTCGCAAGAAATATCTTATATAGATTTCAACTTCATGTGGTAATAAATATGATTGCATATTCAAAGTTTGCATTTCCAACTTTGTCTTTGTCTTCGAGTAAAAAGTCACGGAGAACACTTCCGTATACTACATACCTAGCTGGGAAATTGAAATTTTGTTTGGGACATGATTCGAACATGTACAATGTACGATTTTCCTGAATGGAAAATATATTCCCAACAGTCCAAACCATATCTTAATTTAACAACAATTATTTCTTAAATATTTTTATCTATTTTGCGTTCATAATGATTTCATTAACTGTCAAACCAACTGTGACACCAACTATCTAAAGTAAAATTTGACCAAATTAAATTTAAGGTATAAAATTAATTTTTTTCATAGAATTTTTGCAAAATAGATAAAATAGCATAAAGAACTCATGTCCAAAAAGACGACAAAATGACGTCTTATGACATTAGTTCTTTAATATACTATTAATTTCATTCAAAAATACTTTTTTTGTTTATAAATGTTAAATTCAGCATTAAGTATATAAACGAAACCAACCTTTTTACTTTATTTGGATTAAAATTAGTTTTAAACTAAATTATTAAAGTACTTTTTCAAAGTTGCTTTGGAACGTTGAATATATTAATAGATAAATGTTTAAAATGCACAATATTTAAATATAAAATAAAGTGTAAATTTTAAACATTTTATTTTGATAAGGCGGTGTGATTATTTTGGTAATGGTTTTAATATTAACTATCAAATAATCAATTTTTAGAAGAAATTGGTTCCCAATTATTAAATAAACAAAACTGAACAATTAGCTCAGGCAGACTTGATTAGGGCCTGAGCACAATTCCGCGCGCAGTTGGTTGAGATTTAATTAATTTATACCCATCGATAGCTATAGGTTTACTTTAAAATCAGTTAAAAAATGGTATTTGAATGAATGCATTAATGCTTTGTCTTCATGAGTGTGAGGATAAAATAGAGCTAAAAACGTATTTTTCAGTGATGCGCCACTGGTATGAAGTCCATTTATTATTTAAAACATCCAGCAATTTATAAAGTAACGAAATTTGTAGTGAAAGAAAAGCGTAAATTTTAAGAAGAAATGATATTCACGATGGTAGTAAGTATGGTAATGCGACTATAAATTAAATTAAGTAAATATTCCTCCAAAGCTTTATATTAAATATAACAGAAAAATGATATTGTAGGTCGTTGTGCTAAGTTATTTTTAAGGCGTGAAAGAAGGGTCCTAATATATTCTTAGTAGCGTTTGGAAATAAAATTCGGGCATTTTTTATTATTATTGCACTCTTTTTTAAATATTGACTTTTGACCCTCTTTATTTCTACAATACATACGTAAATTTATATCAATTGCCACAATTTTATTTTACATCTTCTAAAAGAATTGTTTAGAATTATTAATTTTCAAAAACAAATAAACATGTTTTGTCTGTCAGTGTATATGCACAACAAAACGTTCATGTTTAATATTCAGTATGTAACATTATATATTCATTTTTAAAACCAATATGACTGATATGAAGGAAACAATAACCGAATTTGTGTTACAATAGAGATGTAAATATCAAAACCTACAAATATATTTTTTATCTACTCCTATTGCATAATTTTGGGGTTTTTTGTGATTATAACAACGGGAATAATGAACTCATTATTCACATTGTTAGGCGATTTCAATATACACTGTGATTTGAACCAATCGGGTTTTAAATTGGGAGCAGGCGACTATAATAACATTTAAAATTGGTAGCCTAAATCGGGCGTATGACCCTGCCCGGCGACAAAATTCCGGGAGGGTAAAATGTGAGGTTAAGCATTTGACAGATGTCAGATTTTTTTTATTTATGTATTAAACCATTAATTTAATTATCTACTTATTGGATAATATAATAATATTTTGTTTAGTTAACAATAATATGTTGGAATATTTAGTTTCAATGATAAAAGTCAAACATTGATTGTCAACGAAATAAAAAAAAGTTAAACCTCAGTATAGTAAATTTTGACCAAACACTAAAACACACAAGTATTTGCTAACTCGATTAAATATTTATTTTAACTCTTGTATCCCGCAGAGATATATACACGATGCGGTGGCGGCCTCTTTCGACCATGTTCTAAACTAAACATTTTTGTTCCAGGCCTACATTTCCATGTCGTCGGTGAGGGAGTCGTACGAGTTCGCACCCCTCGTCAAGAGAGGGTGTACGATAGGGAGAATTACATAGATTTTCGTATGAGGTTGCTTGGAGAAGCAGGTATAGTGATGTAGCCTATATGCTATAATAAATAAAATAATGTCAAAATTTTCAGGGCAGGGACCTTCTGTTTTATCACCCGGCATCCACAGCTTTCCGTTTAAGCTTGGACTGCCGCTTGGGTTGCCATCAACATTTCTGGGCAAACACGGTTGGGTCCAATATTTCTGCAAAACCGCTCTGAGAGAACCAAATGGACTTACCCACAAAAACCAACAAGTATTTATTGTTATGAATCCAATCGATCTTAATTTGGAACCATCTAGTTTAAGTGTAAGTTGATACTCTTTGGTCTAAGGTTGTGATTAGCATGTGCCACTATGGTTGTTTGTTTATGTGTCGGAAAAGGTTTTTTAGGTACCTATGCTTAAGTATGGTAATAGTAGAGGTATTATTGGCACTTTCTTTGTATATATTGTGTATGTTTCTTTTTTCTGGGGCTAATTTTTGCTTTTCTTTCCTTAAATTTATCTAATCTAGAATATTTCGGGACAGGAGACATTTAGATGCGAAGTCGAGCACAAATTTGGAGTTAGCTGTGTGGGTTCCGGATCGGTAGTTTGCAAAGTTACCCTTGATAGGGGAGGATACGTTCCTGGAGAAAGTATAGGTATACATTTTTTATTTAAATCATTCTTTCTAAATATCTTAATTGAGAATCAAATTGAAACTGTATGTAAACATTCAATTTTCTCAGTTTCTTTAAGAAACTTTCTTGATCCATTACTGGTAATATTCATAAGAAAAAATTTAACTTACACCTCGCCGAAGTTTTTTGTTTTGAATGCGTTCCACTAACTTCAAATACCGACAGACAGCTGTTTCGACCTATATTGGGTCTCATCAGTGTCACCTTTAGGCCATATTAGTATCTGTGATACAATTTCTGTGTGCAGTCCTGGTTGCATAGTATGTACCGATTGCGGCAAAGGCCACGTCGTTCTTACATCTCGCCTCTGTTGGCTTACCATTACCTTTGATTTGAGTGTGTTGAGTATAGGTCGAAACAGCTGTCTTTCGGTATTTGAAGTTGGTGGAACGCATTCAAAACAAAAAACTTTGGCGAGGTGTAAGTTCATTTTTTTCTTATGAAACTGTATGTTTTAAATTTCAAAAGGTGTCTCGGCAACAGTGTACAATAGGAGTCGCGTAACCATTAAAAGTACAAAAGCAGCTTTAACAGAAAGCATAAAGTACCTGGCGAGAGGTAAAGTGGTTCAATCGGAAAAAAGAGAATTAGCTTGTCTGACCAGGGGAAAAATTAGACCAGGAGAAAAGGATGAATGGGTGAATGAGCAGCTGTATATACCTCCTTTACCTCCAACGAATTTAAGAGGCTGTCATCTTATCAAAATTGACTATGATGTCTTTGTGAGTATCCAACACTTTGGTAGGTTCGAAAAATGTTGACTAAAATGTATTTTTAGTTTATTATTGAACCTAAGAGCCTTCAAAAGGAAGTGAAACTGCAGTTACCTATAATGATGGCTACTTACCCATTAAGATCGGAGGGAGATGATGACGCTTACAAGACAGGGACCCATTACCCATCAACTTTACCTATATTTAGACCATGGTTGGAGGAAAAACCCACAATGGAATAGTTTTAAATTATAAAGAAATATATACCTATGTGCCAATAATTGACTAAGTAAACGTACTAATGAAATCATATTTTTAACCGTATTTATAAAATGTGATATTAATATTTATTTTTATTCTATTTTATTCATGTTTGTCATATAACTTTGCTACTGTACTTAATATGTACTTATTATCAAAAAAAATATGACTAAATTTTAAATAAACAACGTCTTTTTAAAACTAGTGAATTTAACGCCTATAAATTCGAAACTTACCCATGTAAAACAAATTTAAAAGTGTAAGTATTCAATATCACTTTAAGGCTTTTACAAGTTAAAACGAAAAAGTTTTACACAATGCAATAAAAGTTTTAGGAAATATAATGCATACTTAATTATCTTCAAAATATCAAACAAATTTTGCAAACAATTATTACTAAAAGAACGTCAATTATAAATGATAAGAAATTCTATAGAATATGAACTTTGACATCAATTTAATAACCTTTATGACACTATCTTAAGAGATAAAAACACTTATTCAGTTCTAACTCTCGTGGTGTGCACACCACCAACAAAATTTATTTATTAATGACTTCCTAGAAATTTGATTTAACAGTTTTCAAGTCTTACAAAATGCGTGGGATTTATTTAATCCTGTTGTTTTTAGTGAATTTTACTGGACATTTACTTACACAAGGTAATAATTATATTTATCTACTTCTATTGCATAATATTGGGTTGTTTTGTGAATAATAATAAAAATTATAAATTTCCTGCCTAAGAACGGGAATAATAAACTCATTATTGACGTTGTTAGGCATCAGTGATTGGCCCATTTCAATATTCACGGTGATTTGAACCAATCGGGTTCTAAATTGGGAGAAGGCAACTATAATAATATTTAAAATTGATAAAAAGTAAGGTTAACCATTTGACAGATGTTTTATTTATTTATTTTTTAAAATCATTTAGTTATCTATCTAAAGTTTTTAATTTAATTTAATTCCAACTTCTACAAACGATCTCAGATATAATTCGTAGTATTTCGTAGTTCCTCCTCAAGTCTTAGGAAATCAACATGTAAAACAAGAGAAAAGGATAAGCCAACAAATACTAGACATCTTGGAGCATTACAAACAAAAAGACCCGGTGGGTATACCGGGTGCTCCGATTCCAGACCCTTTAGATGTACCACCAATACAGAGATCCATTTCATTTAGTACCATTAAGATGATGAATATGAAAATGTATGGCTTAAAGAATTTCCGGATAAGTTCAGTTAAAGCTAACATTGCTAAAATGGAAGTTGAAGCCGCCCTAGACATAGATACACTAAATGTTATCGGGAACTATACCCTTTCGACTTTATTCAGCTCTACAAAGGGACCATTTACAGGTAACTATGATGATGCAGTTTTAGACTAAAAAGCAATTGCAATTCTAGTTCTTTTAATCATCATGTTGATATAACCATATGTTTTAGTAAAACTCAGTAAAGTCTACGTAAAGGCCACAGCTAAACTGGAAATAGACAAAGATGGACACCTGGAGGCACAGGATATGCTGATGGATATGAAGTTTAAAGACATGTCGATGGATTTCAAAAACCTGGGCAGTTTCGCATCACTTCTGCAAGGCATTATGAATTCAATGGGTACTTTTGTTTTCGACTCTATTAAGCCGTTTGTGATCGAGCAAGTTAGTAGAGATATTCGAAAGCAAATGAATACGGAAGTTCAAAAGTTTCCTAAGAAATTTCCTAATTCGATAACTCCGTTCGATCAGCTTGTATCCGAGGTGAGGAAGAAAGTCAGGAAGATGGGATACGATCCGTATAGAGTTCCTGATTATAATACCACTGTGGGTGTGTTGGACATATATCTTAGCCATACGTGGGTGTATGGTATTTCTTCTTTCTACAGAACCAGAGATATTGTTTTTGAAGTTAAAAATAACACTGTTTCCGCGCTACTTGAAGTGGGAACCCAAAAATTACTTGGTACCAGTCATTGGAATTTTAACTTGGTTGCTGGTATGATGACAAGAAGTGGCACCATCGAGTTCAGCGTCGAATATATAAAGGTAAGTAACATAAGCTTTGTCGGCTGATCATTTTTAAACCAAGAAATATCTTTTTAAGGTTGCAGTTTTGGTAAGTCAAACCATGGACACCCGAAATCCTCCGAACCTTGATGACATCCAAATTGAACTTGGAAATATTCAAATAAGATTTGACGGGCTAGGTACCACAGATTATTTTATCGAATTTGCTATAAATGTTTTGCCAAATTTACTGAGATATCAAATAATGGATGCACTAGAGAAGCCGGTTAAATTAAGAATCCAAGAGGTTTTGAATACTGTTAATGTGGAAAAATTAGTGAGAGAAAATGCCGACAAAATAGATGACCAGAAAGCTTTAGAGAAAATGTTTTAAGTAAACTACTTTTTTATTTATTTATGCTAATAAAATGTTTTCTTCTTTACTGATTGGCTTTTATTTACACTTCAATTAAGTGACCCACATGTGGAGCATTTGCTATAGTACCTACTATATATATAGTACGTACACTACCTATAGTACACCTGGTGTACTATACCAGATTGTTCTAATTATAATTAGAAACGTAAAAATATTTAGAAACTAATAAGTTTCTTCCTTGCTTCAAAATATCTTCGAGATGTTCTTTGGATATACATACAGTAAAAGACATTTCGGCCATTCCAAGCCCATGGACAGGACACATCAGAAACATGTCTAAATATATTCTTGTTACTTCCTTAAGTTTACTTATTTTTTCTACGAGTATTTATGAGAAGTATTAGCCAAATTTGGCTAATACTTCTCATAAATACCCGTAGAAAAAATAAGTAAACTTAAGGAAGTAACAAGAATATATTTAGACATGTTTCTGATGTGTCCTGTCTATGGGCTTGGAATGGCCGATTTGGGAAAAGATATATAAAAAACATCTTCTGAACATCTGAAGCAAGATATCTTGGAAAAAATATCTTTTAGCTTCTGTCAGCCATTCCAAAGATATATTTTATTGACATACCTAATTAAGAAGACCAAATTAGCGTTTAGTAACTATTTAGTCAATTGAAAAAAAATTTCATGAACTATCCCTAGAATTTTCCTATATCCCCAGATATTTTTTCCATTACCAGAACTAACCGCAATCCACAACATCTGGATCAGGGTGGATTGTGGAACTAATGACAATTTGTCATTAGTTCCACAATGCCAAACTTTGAATTTGTCATTGACAAATTCAAAGTTTGGCATCACTTCTTTAAGATCAAAATGTTACTTTATTTTATTTGGATATGATGTTAGTAAATCAACACTCTTTTCATAGGAGCTGCCATTAGTAAAATTGTTTTTAGTAGGTAGTACTTACTAGGTTCCCAGTTTATTTTTGTTCTCTTTACATTTGTTAATTTTGTTATTTATGATTTTGTTTCTTGTTTTGAAGCAGGGTGTTTCTTGTTTTGAAGGTTAACATGTTTGCTAAATCCTCCGCTAGATGGTACCACAGACATGCAGTTTTGTTATAATTATTTCAAATAATCTTTTTACAGCGAAAAACCTTTGAGAAGTTTTTATCCACGCTTTCTTTTTGACAGCTTACCGGTATCTAAGTCCACCACCCCTTCACTTTTCCAATGGACTCGTCCGCGTAGATGTCGTAGGCAACCAACAGTACACACCGGTGCACTAAGTTGCATAATAAATCAACCGATCAAATGTCAATAATTTGGAGGGAAACAAGAAGATCTAATAAATGTTATTTATCTCAAGAAATATGGCCTAAAGTATGATGACAATATAATTTATGTGTGCTGTGTGCAAACTGACTTGTGTCTTAATAAAATTAAAAGTTTTAAATGGGTATTACGGGGCTTTTGCCTTTTTTGGCAGAGGCGACAGAAAATACACATATTTCAAAATTTCGTGGTGGAACAGTGGCTGTTGATACCTATTGTTGGCTTCATAAGGGGGCCAATGCATGTGCAGAACAATTAGCTAGAGGAGATGACACTGATGTGTAAGTTTTTATTTATAACCATGTAATTCCATTGTATGAAACTATGATTTTAGATATGTAAACTATTGCTTGAAGTACGTTAAAATGCTTTTAAGCTATGACATACACGTTATCATGGTTTTTGATGGTAAAAATCTACCAGCGAAGGCTGAAACAGAGGTTAAAAGAAGGGAGCAACGTCAAAAAGCCAAACAAAGAGCAATCGAACTGATGAGACTTGGTAAAACTGAAGAGGCAAGAAATGTGTTGAAACAAGCCATTGATATAACCCCACAAATGGCTCACAAGTTAATTGAAGCATGCCGTAAATTAAATGTAGACTGCATTGTTGCCCCTTACGAATCAGATGCTCAATTGGCATTCTTCAGTATTAACGATATAGCTGACTGTATTATAACCGAGGATTCAGATTTAATTCTGTTTGGTTGCAAGAAAGTTATGTATAAAATGGACCTTACTGGTGCAGGGCAGCTGGTTTCCGCCCATAAAATTAACACTGCCATGAAGTTGAGACCTGATGTTTATAGTTTCGATAAATTTCGCTTTATGTGTATTCTATCAGGCTGTGATTACCTAAGTTCCTTGCATGGAATCGGGCTCAAAAAAGCCCTGAAATTCTTTACATTGACTGCTGAAAGTGACCCACTTAAGGTAACTATTTTTATAATTACATAAGTATCAAATAATTAAGTTTAACTCTTATTTTCTGAAAATAAGACGAAATTGGCGTTAAATTGACAGATAGATCTCAATTATTTGTAATGTCAAGGTGGAACTTTTGGGTGTGGAGAGCATTATACTGGAATTGTAAATTATTATTCCTGTAAATATATGTGATACAATAAAAATCTATATATATAAAAATGAATGCAAAAACTCGGAAATGGCTCAACTGATACAAATATGTTTCTTTTGTTTCTCAATAGATGGCGTTCGTAGCTGCGCTTCAAATTAAATGAAAAAACATAACCACAAATTCATTAATTCAATTGTTTTAGCGAGAATAGTATATTATGTATCAAGTTTATAAACGAGGTGCATACTATACTTTTTCTACGACAAATACTTATTATTATCTTAAAATGATTTAAATCAAAAATTTGTATAGAGCGCCATCTATGAAACAACAGGGGAAACTGTCAAATGTCACATTCAAATTCACATTTTTACATTTTATAAACACAATTATAAAGGTTATAAATTGAAATGTTTCTTGAAAATTGACAGTTTTTCACAGTGAAAGTAAAGGAAATGTTTTATGAGGACTTTACAGTGGAGTCCGTGCCCGAATTTAAGTTATAGTTTACTGCCGGCGAAATTAAAAGGTCAGTACAATGTTCATATAAACTTTTCAAATATTGGCGTCAAGAAACTATTTAATATTTTTGTATTGAGATAATAAAATAATTTTCACATTTAGTATTATTTTACAAGAAAGGCACTTTATTTTAACGATTGTATAAACTGTCAACTAACTTAAAACTAACTTCAGCCCGTGACTAAAAACCTGTTGCTAACTTCAGCCCGTGACTAAAGCGCCGTAAAGCCACAACTTGTCAATGTGTATTTAAAAGATCACTTAGTGTCATGGAAACATGTACGATAAAGGGCGTTTTAAAGGTGGGAGTAGAAAAATTAGTTTAAATAGTTAAGTTCTCAAGGTAAATTTGACAGATTTGAGCGAGTGTGAAAACAATTCCGTGTCGTTTTACAGTGTTCAATGAATTGTAACCATTTTTATTGTATCACATATTTACAGAGGTAATCTACAATTCCAGTATAGTTAAATTAAATATTAATGTTTTTGTCTAGTTTTTAGATAGAGTCCCTAGATATTTAAACATGAGGCACTTGGAAGTAACTGAAGAGTACAAAGAAAGCTTTATGATTGCCTGTGCTACATTTAGGCACCAGACAGTGTTTGACCCATTTAAAAAGGTTCTGGTTTCTTTGACGGACCCAGCAGATGCTGGTACAGATCCAAAACATTGCAAAAATGCTGGGGAAAAATATGACAATAAAAGAGCTCTAAAAGTGGCCCTGGGCAATATGCACCCATCAAAAGATGAAGTCTATGGAAATTGGTATCCTCCAGAAAGTTTAATGCCTTCAAGAAGTATTTGGTCAAATATGTATCGCAAAAAAGTTGAGAAAATTGATGGTAAACCGAAAGAAGTGGCGCAATTTTCAGGGCTCAAAACTTATAAACAGAAAGCCGAAATAGTTTCAACATCTTTGAACGACAATTTGCAAGATGATGATGATCTTATTTCCACTTACAGAAAAAAGGATCTAATTGCTAAAAAAGCAGAATCGCCAGAAAAGGAGAACATTGTAAAAGAGAAATGTGAAGCAAAGGATACGAAAAAAAATCCATTTGTCAAGTTGAGCAAGTTTAACAAATCCACAGAAGCTCCAAGTGAGAATGTTTTAACAAAAAGCCGATATTTTTACACTCCTGAAGCAGGGGAAAGCAATTCTCAAAAAACTCCAGATTCTCAAAATACTCAAGATTCCCAAAAAACTCAAGACTCTCAATCAAGCATTACTTCAAAAATCTCACATTTGGACATTGAAGCGTCATCTTCAAAAAAAAGGACTCTTGAAGACAATACAAACACTAATCTTGATGTCAGTATTGATTTAACTGACAAATCTGATGAAGAAAATCTCCCAGCACCAAAACAAGAAAAGAAAAAAATCAAATATGGTCCTTGTAGAAGTGTTGGGCTAAAAAAACAAAAATCTCTCAACTTCTTTTTTAATAAAATGACAAAGAATGATAAGTAATAAATAGTTCACTTTAAGTACTGTGATATCTTTGGTTTTCCATTTTTGATACTGATTGTTATTTTAAGTTTAATATAATTTATTTTCACAAAATTGAGTTTTATTTATTTATTAAATACATGATTACAAAATCTTGCATTTTATAAACTTTCATTATTGTCCTTATTTGAGAAATATAATAAATAAGTTTTAAATAATTCTATATTAATTTTATAAAAAAGCATTTAAAACTATTAAATACTCAAAATGATAATATTTTAAGATTTTATAATGGCATGTTTATAGCAAGAATAAATAAATAATAAATAGTTTTTAATAAATTGTATAAAAAAAGCATTTAACAATAATAAACTCACAAAATGATGATATTTTAGATTTTATAATGGTATATTTATGAAAAACAAAAATCGTATTTTGATAACGATTATCGTATCATATCCAAAAGGTTTTTATGATGGACATATAAATTTGTAGATAATTTTTTTTAATTATCCATTTTGTTTGTTTTCCAATTGTTTTGGAATTTTTTTCCATTGTTTTTATGAGATTTTTAGTGCATTTTACATAATATGCATATTATGCCACTTTTTGCTTTTTATAATATATATTCTGTAGGTACATACCCTTCATCATAAAATGTACACACTGTATTTACACGTATAACCTATAAAAATCTTTTTCTATGATAAAAATAACATTTAAATAAGAGAATAAATGCACGCGCCGCGCTAATGCGCACCACGGTATTTCATGTAGCTAGTTTTGCTTTTGCATAAAAGAGGGCGCGAAAATACAAATTTTGCAGTTTTCTTTTTTAAAAATTCTACAGTTTTCTTTTTTTAAAATTATAGATAAGTGGGTATTATAATAATAATACTATTATTCAAAATTATAGTATTTTAAGGTACTATACAAGGTCATCTATACAAAATATAGGCAATAAGCGGTATATGTGTGGCGGTATGTGTTTTATTATTATTTATACCCCCTCTATCATTGTAACGTTAAACTAATTATCTGTTCTGTGACCGCTTTAAAATTTACTTATTTAGTTTAGGCCTACTCAAAAAGATGGCGTAACTATCGAAAAAATTTGTTTTCTTAAGGGTCAATTGATTTAAAAAATATATGCTTCATTATAAATGATTATTTATTGGTAAATGTTTGTTCATTTAAAGAGCAAATGGTACATAAACATGTATAATTAATAGTTTAATTAGAATAATCTTATTATAATATAAAATTTAATAAAGTTAATATCTTTTTGGGAAATGTTTCGTGTTAATTTTATTAAGTCTGCATAAATACATAAATATTTAGGATGTTGGCGTGTTTTAAATTATTTAAATGTTTTACGAGTAAATCAACTCGGTGGAAAAACAAAAAAACAACAAAGTTCATTGTAGCAAGATTAAGGAAAATTTAAAAAACATGTTTTTTCTTTATTATCGATTAGGGAGCATTAGCACCGAATATACGGCGAAGAATCTAAAATACCCAATGACCATAGAGAAAAAGAATATGACCCTGCACATATTAATGATTAAAAGTGTCAAGTAGAGTAGGGCAGCCGTAGGGCGCAGCCGCGGGACAATTTTCCAACGCTCGGGAAAGTGGCTGCTTTTCCTTAGCGTTCCCGTGCGAATGGTTTGGTGAATAGTGATGGAAATTCGAAAAGGGGTCCATGTCATAACAAATTGACTCTACAATGCGGAGCAGCAGCTCGGAACTGCTCCTAGACCAACAAGAGGAGTTGAGGAAAAGGAAAATCAAGGTAACAACATTACTTTGCCACACCACCCCATAAAAAAAAGATTGTATATGCCTAATTGTATAAAATTATATATAATTATATAAAAAAAATAGCCCGATATAATCGGATAGAATTGTATATAATTATGTAGAAGTATATAATAAAATCGAACCGATATAATTATACAGAATTCTATACAATTATATGTAAGTATATTATCATATTCCTGCTAAAAGTCACAAACTGAAATTTTGTAAAAATCTGTGCGCAATACCAATATGTAGAGTTATTAGCTGCAATTTTTGTATATGCTTTTCCTTTTTTCCCATAAAAGACAAAATAACTATATTTAAAAAAATAGCATTATATTTGCTTAACTGGGCTTAAATTTCTCGCAAAAAGGCTTAATTTTAATTAATTTAACAGTGTGTTAAAATTTTATTAACATAATGTACTTAGGTAGTTTGTTTATTGATTTCGCATTTATTAAGTTATAACTCACAATTAGTCAGATACTCAAACAAATTGATGAATCATTTTTTTAAAGGAACTATTGGATCCCTTGAGGTTTGATGAAATAGTGTGGAATTTTTTATGGATTTTAAAAAAAGATTTGCAATATGGTTGTAACCATTTGCATTTGCATTATAATGTTTCTGTTAAAATGTGCCATAACTAGGTATATAGGTTTATTAATCCTTAAATAAATACCTACCTCTAGACATGCAATTTGGTTTAACTTCAAAGGGTTTTAAATATAGTTTAGTTTTAGTGCCATTATAAGGTTTTTTAATTTCCGGTTTAATTATTTATTTTAATCGAAATAATAAACATAAATTCTATGTAACCAAATATTTATATTTTTCTATATATAGGTATTATAATTAGGGAATTCAATGAATACTTAATTTCGTGTCGAGCAAACACCACTATCGATTCCCTCGAACCAAATTGACGGTCAATTTTTTTTCTCAGGAGCTAGCAGCCGCGAAAAAAGCAAAAGCGGCAGCAGGTCGATCATGTCGCGAGCAAGCCCTATTCTACTCAACGAGCCTTTTGGCCGTAATAGCGATGTCAGCCGGGTCGTCGTTGTTATTTTTGGTACCTTTATACGTCGACCCGGCCATTTCCACGCTGGCCTCGAACTTCGTCACCGAACCCGTCACGTGCATCACGACACGCAGGGAAGAACTGGCCGGCCTTGCCAACTGCTCCTGGAGCTCTTGCAGAGAAGGGTGCACCAGCGACGCCTACCACTGCACGCACATTTACGTCAGCTATAACGACAGCAAGGTAGGCATACTTTTGTTTTGAGTGCGTTCCACCAACTTCAAATACCGACAGACAGCTGTTTCGACCTATATTGGGTCTCATCAGTGTCGGGCAACTTGGTGTAGTGAAACACACCCAAAACAAACGACTTCCTGAGCTTATACAGTGTGTATTAAAACGAATAGATACACTTAAATAAAACAAGTGCCAAACCCCGCCCACTGTATGCCCTTGTATCTGGCTGCATGCCGCGCTGTTGCCATATGCTATTATTGTTTCCTAAAAGGGTTGTTTTTCTTATTTTTTAATATTAAAAGTAAGAAAATTAACTAAATCAAATTATTTTTGACATATTATTAATTTTTTTTGTTATTTTTAAAGTTTCAAACAAATAAAATTGAATAAAACGAGTGCCAAACCCCGCCCAGTGCATGCCCTTGTATCTGGCTGCATGCCGCGCTGTTGCCATATGCTATTATTGTTTCCTAAAAGGGTTGTTTTTTTTATTTTTTAATATTAAAAGTAAGAAAATGAACTAAATCAAATTATTTTTGACATATTATTAATTTTTTTGTTATTTTTAAAGTTTCAAACAAATAAAATTGAACTATTTATTAAATAATTATAATCGTTCTCTTCTGATTTAAAACAACCTGGCAACTATGGTTCGTAATTAGGAATGGCTTGGTTTAAACCACGCCCAATTAAAGTTTGTTTCTTTTTCTCTGATCAGAGTATAATTTGTCATCCTTGTCTCCAGCCTTACTTACTTGATTCTATACAGTCTGTATACTGCGAGATGTAAGACGTGGCCTTTCCCGCAATCGGTACATACTATGCAACCAAGAATGCACGGCAAATTGTAACACAGATACTATACGGCCTAAAGGAATTATTTAACTTTTTTTTTCTAGGTGGAGCCTTACAATACAACGGAGGATGCAGTTTTGCTGGTAAACATAAAGGGTTGCGGTTATCCGCCTAATGTTTTGTGTTCAAATTTCACCGATAAGTATGGTCACGAGGGTACCGAGTTCCCTTGCTATCACTCTCGTGAGAATCGCACGGTGGTGTTGACGCACTACGAACGGGACGAGCAAGTCGGGATAATTATTCATTATTTCGCTGTACCTTTTGTGATCACGCTGGCAACGTCGGTGGCGCTTTGCGTGATGCACTGCGACTGCAGGTGTCACCCGACGCATCAAAGGAAATCCAGAAGGCATAGGATCCAAGACCTTAGCGACGGCTCGATTAGTATCGGCGTGGATTTGAGGCACAATTCGAGTTATCATTCCGATTTAGTGGCTATAAGACCAGATATGTAGTCTTAATTTTATTGTGGTGCCTGTCTCACCCATACAGCACAAGATGTCCATTGGACGTCAAATGGACGTCAAATGGACGTCAAATGGACGTCAAATGGATGAACATTGTACATCCAAACGTCCAATGTAAGTCCATTTGACGTCCATTTGACGTCCAATGGACATCTTGTGCTGTATGGGTGAGACAGTCTTTGCTGTCCTTTGGTATTGTTTTTCAAATCATTGATCACCGAAATTTTGAAATACCTATAACAAGGATAGCGGAGAAGTTTGTCACTGGCACCGGTATAATAGAAATACAGAGAAATACAAGTTTTTCATATTTTTCCATAGTTCCTCACAATAATATTTTTGTATAAGCAACGAATTATGTGTGTTACTAATAAGGGGGTTTGTTTGCTTTAAATTTTTGACAGCTTGGTTGTGTTAGGGTTAATGGTGCTTATTTTATAGTCTTATGCTTTGGGCTAAGGTAGATGTTAAGTTTTTAGTTGAAACCGAGCTGTTAAAAATGTAAACTTGATTTTTTTTCTCCCCCTTGTTTTGGTTTCTCTGTATGAAAATAAAACCGTAAAGAAATGTGTGTTAAGCTCCTAGAGATCATATGCTTAAACATTTAAATAAATAAATTTATATATATACATATATTGGTTTTTATAGAAGCAACTTTTAATTAAAAATGTATTTTTATAAAAAAGTTATTTTCAATTAGGATATGTTGACTATATGAAATGTTTTTGGTTATAAATAAAGTATAAATATGTGTGAGAGTTAAAAAAATATTATCTACAATTTCAGGTTAATTTTTGTATTAAATTTTATATTAAAATATTATTATAAACACAATTTTATCATTACCCTTTTTATATAAAATGTTATACACTTTAGAACACAAAATACCAAGTACAAAAATAATATTTTCTTGTAACTACATTTCAAAATAATAAAAAAATCTAAAGAATACAGGTAAGTGTGGTAAATATTAGGAAAATTATTAAGAAATGTAAACAATGTATATTACAATAAATAAATGTCTTCCTTAATTAATAAATTATTCCTTGCCCCCCCCCCCCTCTCGAGTTAAATTGCCCCCTTTTTTACTTACCTGTATAATTTATAAGGTATAGGTAAATAAAATACAAAAAATTAATAATAAAATATTTATTATTATTACATTTAACAGTTACTTTAGGCATAGTAACCTTAAATTTAAATATAAATTATAAACATATGCATATAAAAATTGCTTTATCAATAATTTTTACAATTTTAAAATTTCTCTTTAGATTATTTTTACAATACTGGCCCCCAGAAATGGCTTAATAATATTGAATAAAAAACTATAAGTAAGTAGGTAGATATAATATACCTGACTAGCATAATATGTGACAAGTAATCAACTTGTACAGTCAAAATATATTTACGAGTTTGTATTGCATATTTTTATTTAGAATTTAAAATATGTAACACAACGTTTGAATACTATATACTCTAAATCACAATAAATACATAAATTACGAATAAATGTTCTATTAGTATATAGTCACTAACCTAATGTGTATGCTTTATTTAATTAACTAAACATATTGACAATTATTAAAAAATACCCATAAGAAAACTTAAAAAATCCGTAACAGCAACAAAATATATTTTTAAATCATTATCTGATAACCGACATTCAACATTAACATTAAACTTCTTCAATCGAGAATTTATTGTTTTTATAAAAATAGATACGTACGTCATTTTCATAATGATAACAATTCGAGATAAAACATTAAAACGCATATAAATCTTTGGCATTTTATACCTTACTTTCCGGACCGATCGCATTTTGGCTGAAGGAATTCTGCAAATTTCCAATAAAAAATGCGCACAGATGTCCGTAGTTCTTCTGATACCACTCAGGTGACCTTCCCCTGTAAAAAATAAACCGCAAAAATCAATACCAAACGAGTTTGCAAAGTTGGCGCCCTCTCAAAACTAATACTTACATGGTATCAACCCTGGATAAATGCACGATTCTTGATTTTCCAGATCCGCAGGGCTCAATCAAGTACCTTGAGGCATACACGTTGCCCCTTACGGTGTTTGGGATTTTCACGCAATCCGGATGCTCGACGGAAGTTTCCACTAGCATACAGGCTTCTTTTGGAAGAAAGTCGGTTTTCCATGTTCTCAAAACGCAATACTCCTCTTTTGGTAAAGGATTTATACTTCTGCGAACATACTGAAAAATCTCGGTTTTTTTGTCAATTTGCTCGATTATTCTTGTGGAGTGAAGTTCGGGATCCCACATATGTCGACCACGAATGATCCTGTTTAAAACTTCCGAAGGAGGAGCCTCTATTTCGGCGCAAACCTTCCAAAGCCTTAATGGTATTCCGTCGACCACTTTTTTAAACGATACATCCACTTTTGGGTTATGACCCGATATCGACATGAAACCCCTTCCTTTATCACGAACCTCCTTCAAAAAGTTCTCTTGGCATTCCCTTAAAAATTCCTGATAACCCCCAAACTCCTTTCCCAAGTCACCCAGAGTTGCCACCTTGGCATTCTTGGTCTCACATTGAGCCAAAAACTCCTTTGGAATCTATAATATCAAAAAACTTCAGTGGACATTCTATATCTTGCCAAGAAATACTCACGTTAAACAAGGAATCGTAATGCTTTAAAAAGTACAACAAGCATTCATGTCCAGCCTTATTTTCGGCAAGTTCCCTGGGATGAGGCGAACCCAGGTTTTGCTTGCAGCTTTGAGAATAGTGGAACAATGAAGGAGCAAAACACATGGCCAAGTTACTCTCGTTCATTTGATTGACAAGAGCCTCCTTGGATATTTGCAATAAAAAGTGAAGAAGCGCCTCCAGAACCTCAATGTGTTCATCGGGCATAAGCAAAAGGGAGCAAAGAATTGACTCTCGTCTTAGACTAGTTGGAAGATCTGTAAATTATCATCATTTAAAGATGTTTTTTTCAATAAAGCAAAGACTTACGTTGGAAAATTAGGATGAAAGTCTCGGAAAACTTGTTGGTCAAAAGGGCGTCAGGTAGTTCCCTAAAATATTGCTTGACCATGTCCGCAACATCGTAATGTTGATGTTCGTTATAGTTAACGATTTCATGGTTTGTTTCCACGGTGTTTCGTAAAACCTGAATTCTCGATTTAACGCCAGGTTTGCGGAATATCCCCACCTGATCAGTGGCATTTTTCTGCAACCACGTCAATGCTTCCTCTATGTTTTTTGGCACGATTTGACCCGTTTTTTGGAACGTTACTGTTAAAGGTACGCCGAATATGTGTTTATCTGCATTAAAAAAATGATGTATTGATTAAATTTATTGATTTGAAGAGAATTACCTTTATATACAGGAGATTTCTTTTTGCGTATGAATTTTGGTAGCTCCCAACTCCAGCCGGTTCTTTGAGAAGGGCAATATTTTTCAATGTGAGCGGTGAGCTTGAGCAAAGCTAATTTTCTAAGTACTTGCAATTGAGAGCATGATAAGTTTGACATCGCCGGCCCTGTTATATCTAAGGGTTCCTCAGATTCAGGACTGCTGGGCACTGCCTCGGTCAATTTCGGCCAGATACTACAAATGCAACACTTTCTCACAACATTTTCTCTTTTAACAACTTAATGGTACTTACGTTGTCGTTTGGGCATTTGGTAGCGACCAGGTTTCGCTTTTGTCGAAAGATTTGGCCCGGGAGCGCCTCAAGTGGGTGGGAGTCAGCTCGGAATCTGACACGTGGTTCACCTCACAAACCTTTAACTCACTAAACCGGTCACTATCGTGCACAGAGTCTCTATCACTGAACAGCAAGCCGCGTCTTCGAAACTTCGTGGAAGCTGCCCGTCTCGAGGAAGCGGCTCTCGTGGTGAAAGTGGACGGTTTCTCGAAGACGTCATCTTTTTCCTTGGGTTCCGTCACTTTGGATTCCTCGCTAGCCGGTTGCAGAACCTTGCAGGTTCTGGACCAGCGCCTGGTTTTCGCCAGATAGGTCCAGTTGTCGGATAAAGCGCAGCATTCGTCCTCTGATTCATCGGTGTGTGCGGTGACCCTTTGCTGATGGTGCAAGTGCGCGCAGTTGTTCAGGATTTTCAAACGACGGAATAAAGAGTTCAAAACGTCTTCTTCCAGAAGCGGGTGGTCCTGGCCTGCAGTTGTAATGTCTATCGGAAACTGCATGTCTGGAATAATTTAATGATAATGATGTAAGGGTGCATTAAGGGGTTTCTAATTTGTTTACCTTCGTACATTTGCGCGTACTGCGGAAATCCCGTCGCTCTTAGCCATTTGCATGCTTCTTCGGCTTCAATTTCTGGAATTATTTAGGAACAAATTAATGCTAAAGGGTTGTCATATTTATAGGTAACTGGGGCAGGTCAATAGAAATACCTGCAATTTTATGATTACGCATCTGTCTCCATAACTGTTCGGCTTTTCTAACCGGCCAGTTATCGTTTACTTTGACACTCAAACTACGAAAGAATCTGTATTCTTTTACGCGGATTGACATGTTCGAATGACATATATGATATGTACTCACCGGCTAGGTGTCTATCTGACTGAGAGCGGGTGTGTTTGGTCATCTGCAAAATACAAGATCACTTATGCTTGGCCAATCATCTGAATAATAGAGTAAAATTCAAAGGCTCCCATACACACGCGTGGTTAATATTATAACTCAGTGGCGACCCAAAGGGATGCTAATAATAACTTTATTTGCAAATGTCATCCATATCTATCTATTGATTTAATTCATTAAATACAAATACAAACCTCCTTGCAACACTTTGATAAATTTGCACAACTCCAACTTTCTCTGCTACCACTAGGGCCACCACTCATTTTTATTTTATTTAATCAGCTGGTAACTTTTTGCGAAGTGAAACAACGCGTGCTAACTTTAGAACCACTAAAGGTACTATGAATCAGAAATTTGATGTTACATGCAAGGTACTAAAGATAAACAAAACTAAAATGTATGATTAATTAATCGACAATTCTATTAATTACCCTAAATTGTTCTAATATTAATGCAATTGAACATAAGAATAACATTTGAATTAATCATGTAACAACAAATATGTGACTATATTCGTAAACATTTTTTTGGGACGCCTCTGGTTTATTCATGTTGTTTGAAGTAAATTCAATATCGTCGAAGCTTACAAAATAAATTATACAGGGCCTTACCTTGAGCGGACATTTTTTTAGTATTGGTGCCGATGATGACTTGTTGCTCAAAATTTTGTAAGATCTCTGATGATTGATGGGGTGATCTCTTCCGTCTGTGGAAGATGTGGAATGCGCGTCTTCGTCCAGCAAATCGCTGTCCGAAGTGGAAGTCAGACAGGGGGATGATGAACATTCCGTAGCCCATGTCAGATTCGTGGAACTTGGCGATAAAGATGGCGACGTTTGCGTGCAAACGTCGTTTACGTTACAATCGCTAATCAACTAGAAAAATAATACAAATATGCATCCAGAATGATCATACAATGATCCAATGCTTACAGAATCAGATGACAGTATGTCGGTTTCCGTAAGGTTGTTGTAGATGCTGTAGATGTTGTAATCCTTGCTACAAAAGTCATCGTTAATATCCCCGTTTTCCTTATTTTTAGCTACCAATTGAGATATTTGCAACTCGATGTCGATGAGTTGTTCGTTGAGAATTTCATAGTCGAAATCGATTTTGTCCAGCTGTTCGATATCGTTGTCGTACTCCTCGTCGATAATTTTTTTAATGGACAAGTCTTCCTGATCGCTACACTTCACAGCTTGGAGCTCCGAATTGTTATTCGGAGCCCCTTTTTCGAACACCTTGCTTATTTCATCCTGCAACAACTCACTAAATCAATCTTTTCGCTTAATAAATGATGCACAGGGTGTGGAGGCACACAAAACAAAAATCCAATTAGAAGTATGAGTGACGTTGTGTCGACAAATTCCCATATTCCCTTTACTAATCCGATGTGACCTGTGGCTATTACCTCCAAGAAAATATATAAAGGAGTGCCGCTTCCTTTTGAAACTTAGTTGTATGTTTTCCGTTTACCGCGACTCTACCATGATCAACAAATGGATCCTACTAGTTTGCTTAACTGGAATTCAGGTAGGATATAAAGGGGTAAAGTGGAAATGCTGAAATTAAACATGACAATCTTTAGTAACTATACTTGAAAAAGGACAATCAGTTACACCTCGCTTTTGAAGACGCCAACAGCAATTTCTGTTTTGTTTTGGTGTTGGGGAATATTTCTAAACCTAAAGTCTATTCAAATCAAAGCTGGACTAAATGTAAACACAATCCTCCGAATCGACCAATAAGAGCTCACAATTCGAGTCACACCATCAGAATCGACCAATAGAAAGCGTCTGGGCCTTTTTGTTTAGTCCAGCTTGGATTTGAATAGACTTTATGTTTAATATCAGCATTTTCAAATGAAACCATTTATAACGATGAAACCAACCAAAGAATTTATATTGATGGGCACAATTTCTTGGTTGCCAGGCTCAGGATCCACGCAAGCGATATGAAAGTCTGCCGTCGTTTGAGATCAACAAAGTGGAGGAGGAGGAAATATCATGCACCACAAAGGCTTGCGTTAAGAGATCGGCCGGTCAGGACGAGCTGGGTCCTTTTTGGGCGAACAGGGGCAAGAAAGATCCAACTTATCTGCAGCAGAGATTTTTTGTGGAAGAGCCGCGTTGGGTTTTGGTGAGAAGAGACGATCCGAGCGCGGATGTCGACGATCCTTTTTTTCTTTCGCGTGGAAAGAAGGAGGAACTGTATCGCCCTTATGCTTTATCAAGGGAAAGGCGAGATGATGGCGTGATATCGCCATTTTTCGCAGCTAGAGGCAAGAAGTTCGGCAGATACATCCAAAAAATTTAAGTGCCGGCAAAAATAGTATAAAAATAAAAATTTTACTTGATTTGCTCGTTTTTTTCATTTGGCTGTGGGTTATGCATATAATAATTAGGCAAGCAACTAGTTTTACGATCAATTCGCCTAATGAGTTTTATGGTTAATTTAATAGGTGTTTTCGCGGTGCTAATCCCGAACATCCTAGGCATGCGCATTTTAATATTTGTCATAAGCACTTTAGATTTTGAATTAGTTCGGGATTAGCTCCGCGAAAATAGCTAATATTATCAGTTTGGTACGACTTTATACAGTTTTAATTCTATTTGGAACGCCGAATTCGTTAATTTCAACACTTTATTGCGAATTGTTGAAAGTATTTTGAAATATCTGGTAAGTAGAAGTATAAATAAAAATGACGTCAAGTTGGTTAAATAACAAAACCCGCATATACGATTATTGAGGTAATTGATTTTTGTTTGCGTTTTTAATCGTTGTGTTTTTTTGCACTTACCCTTGTCTGCTCAAGGAACAATAGAACATCCTGATACTGATCGCCGTTGCTCATCTTACAAAATCACCAGTTTTTTTTTCGTCCAGCCATGTCGAATGGTAAACCTGCAACAAATTAATAATTAATTTCCGTACATGTTTCCATGACACTAAGTGATCTTTTAAATACACATTGACAAGTTGTGGTTTACGGCGCTTTAGTCACGGGCTGAAGTTAGTTTTAAGTTAGTTGACAGTTGTCAAATGTCATACAATCGTTAAAATAAAGTGCCTTTCTTGTAAAATAATACTAAATGTGAAAATTATTTTATTAATCAATACAAAAATACAAAAATATTAAATAGTTTGTTAACGCCAATATTTGAAAAGTTTATATGAACATTGTACTGGCAGTAAACTATAACTTAAATTCGGGCACGGACTCCATTTTAAAGTCCTCATAAAACATTTTCTTTACTTTCACTGTGAAAAACTGTCAATTTTCAAGATACATTTCGATTTATAACCTTTATAATTGTGTTTATAAAATGTAAAAATGTGAATCTGAATGTGACATTTGACAGTTTCCCCTGTTGTTTCATAGATGGCGCTCTATACAAATTTTTGATTTAAATCAAAGCACTCGCTCGCAAGCTTGCTTGTGCCTAAATTAAATTCGTGTATAAAATGGCGTTTATCAAACTTGATACATAATATACTATTAAACAAACACGGCACATTTACAGTTTGTTATGTGGGTGCCATTCTCACAATTACAATCAATTTTGGTTTCGTTTGTTATAACAACAAAATGTTACGAATTCGTAAATATATACCTAACGGGTTTATTTATTCATTCGATGAAAATCGTTTTTAGCCCTCAAGTAAATTAGCATTAATATTCTCGAGCCGTACTAACCACTATTCGGTTATGAAACATAGGCGGTTGATAAACATTTTTCTTAGGGGGCTATAAAAGTTAATCTAAATGTACCATCGTCATTTTGTACGCAATAACTGCTTATAAAGGCTAAATATGGCGATGTTTGTGTATTTTTTGTTTAACGTAGGTATGTGGTAATGTTTCTGTGTAAAATTCTTTTGGGTAAGGTTAGGGACGCCAATGTGCCATCCTTAGAAATTGTTTTCAATGAAACTGCTTCTTTCACTTATTAAATGTATCAGCACAATCACAAGTCGAGAAATTCAACTGGTAGGACGCTTTTTAATGGCCATCTTGCCAGTAAATTATTACACCTGATTGTCTATAGCTTGTCACAATTGACAACGCCTAATTTATTGCCTTGACGCAAATATTTGTATAAATACCATAAATACCATTTTATTGTGTTTGTTTCAACCAGCTTAACTCTTAATATTTCTGTATTATTAGAAAATTGTGCAGAGAACAAAGAATACTCAATACCCAGTTGTAAAGTACCGTTTTAACTAATTAGTCCTAAACTTTTCAAAATAACTAATTGTTAACTACATGCATGTTTATTTTAAACGATTTTCTCACGATTATATCGTTTATAAAAATAGATAAATTAAACCTAATTAATAATTACTCTTCTCGTTTATAATTGCACAAATGTTTTTAACGACCCAACATGTAAAAATGTGCAATATTTACACTATGCTCTTTCGGCTGTATATCTCTTCGAACAGCTACTTAAATTTATTAGATAATGTTTGCTGCTGATATATTTTTTGATACTAAAAGTCAACAATTTGCTTTTTATTATTTCCTTGTTCGAAAGTTCAACTAGCTCTCAAATACAGGGTGTTCAAAAAGTTCCGTTCTATTGGCCAATTTCCCATAATGCAAGATTTCTTGTCAGAAAATTTTCTATATACATATCATTTTCTTTAGAAAGTAAAGTAGCAAATATCAAGCAATTTTCTGTCAAAATAGTAGATTTTGGATATATATTCTTTTTAAAAGATAAAGATTGACAGTTAACATTCCATTCCAAATTAGATTCTGTTAGATATTGACATATATTTCGTTAGTGAGTATTGTGATATATATCTTGTGTTCGGAGAATGCTTAGAAAATGTGCGAGACTTTTGGAACATCCTGTATACTTTTAAAGAATGTTATAAACACTATGTGTAATACTTTTCTTATTAAGAATGAATGAATGATTCAATAGCAATTAATTTGTTACCGACTTATTATAATAAGCGATCCTTTTTTGTGCAGTACAATGACTTGGTTGTTACAAAATCGCTTTACAAACTATCTATTGTCTTTATCTAAATTAGAATAATACAAGAGAATTTTAACGTGACAGGAGCTTTTAAAATTTAGTAACACTTACCGGTGTTTAAAGCACCATTAACTTAAATCAACTGGCCTCTAGACATTTAACAATGTAACTGATCCCTATTTTCCACATAATTTTAAAACACTGTTTGACCTGCCCCAAACCTAAAAGGGTCCGCCAAAAATGTTAAGGGCGTGTACTGACGTCTCAAATTCTTTACAAAACGGTTGATCTATCGCTGGCCACCATATCTGGTGTAAAAATACACCACAAAATTACCAGGTATTTGGTCTTGTTTTGACAATTGAACTTTCTATGCGAAAATTGATGAAGTGCTCAAACAAAAATAGAACGACTTAATAAGCAAAACGGTTGATAAAAAACGGTGAACTTCTAGGGTAATATACTTTTATCTCATATTGGGTTACACAACTATTTTTTGAAATAATATACCGTAAATAACAATTAAGTGGGTTGTGTCCTGGATTTTAGAATACACATTTTCAATCAAAATCTCGTGGCGAATTAAATAAAAACAAACTTAAAATACTACGCCCATTGATTTAAATACTAATTATTACGTAGGTTTACATTATAAACTTTCTAAAGTGTTATAGTGACTTAATTTGGATAAAAGTTTTAGTAAGATGAATAAATAAGATTTACTTGTATTATTACTAATTTATTCAATTAGTGTTGTAAAAAGAAAGTGCTATTTTTTTGTTTATCGCGTATTTTGCAATCTATTATTCATCCCATTCATTCATTATACACGAAAACACACTCCCACCCAGCTAAATCAATATGTTGTCATTTTGGGATTTGTAATATGTTACCACTCAATTTTAATATTCATGCCATAATTACGAATTTTCAGTCATCAATGAAATAAATCTATCGACTCTAGTTTTTCTCAAAGGGTATACTGTTTTTGTTTTTTTATGAAGAACTATTTGTTTTTTTCTTTTATAAAGAAAATATTTTGTTCTTTTATATTTTATTTTATGTTAAAAATAAATATTTATTAATTTGTATACCGATGTTTTATTTCTGAATTAACATTTGTATGTATATAATCCTAACTATCTTCAACATATCAATCTAATCTGACTTATTCCACAAAATTTTCCAATTTAACTTTTTCTGAAATAATATCATACAACTTATGGTTTAGATGTCAAATTGTCTATTTAATTTTTTTAAATAAATATATTAATATGTCACAAATTTTTTTAAGGGAACGACATATACATTTCACTGTCATGTTATGTCAGTGAGGCGTATTTGTCGTCTCCTGAAGAATTTTACGAATGTGGAATAAAACATATTAGAACGTGGGTATCTGACATATTTGGGAATATTCTTAAAAGCTTCCTAGAAGCTCCATAAGAAACCTTCTAAGAACATTCCAAAAACGTATTCTTAAAATGTTCTTAGGATGCTTTTTAGGAAGGTTTTAAGAAGCTTTTATAAATCTAATTGCATCATTAAAAGGGTATCTATTGAATGTTTTAAAAGTCCCTTAGAACATTCTTAGCAATAAGGGAAGCCTTTAAGAATATTTCATTATTCCGGGTCATATCTTCTTAGAATATTCTTAAAATCAAATTTTTCTATCAGGGCTTCATGTTTCATACAAAACTATTGTTAATTTGCACATTTATTTTCTTGTTTTTCTGTAAATTTTCAACTAAAGCAAAATCCTGTTAAATGCAAATGGGTTAAGCGAATAAATGGCATGTTGAAAAAATACCAGAGAATCGTTTTATTGTCAAAAGAAACGCATAAAATGTCTGCTACTGTTTTATTGTTTTATTCTTAAACAATTCATTATTTACGTTGAGGCATGCTTCCATTGTTTTTATTGTATATTTTAAAGAATAGCGTATGTTTCAAGAATCTAGCCGGCTTGCCGCAATACCGAGAAACAAACAAATGACATGCATAGACCACTTATTAAGTTGACTATTACAAAATATACCGACTAGGAGAAAAAACAATACATTTATATATATGTATATATAGGTATCATGTTTGACTTATAGCCTCAACAAATGGTAGTAAATCATTGTCAAATACCATGGACATACAAGAAAAATAAAATAAATTTCAGACAGTTTATCATTCGTATCAATGCGTATAACCTGTAATGATAATTTCGAAAAAGAAAAAATGACTTGCCGCATTCATCTTTGGGCTATGAATAAAAATTTGCATTGAGCGGTAGTTAACCATTTTAGGGAATAAAATTTCTAAAACAATGTTTCTTAGCTTTCCCTCGGAAAAAACTTTCTATGTATGCATTGATAAAATTTATTCATACATATTTCAGGACAAAGAGCATTAATTTTTTTTATACTTTTTTATCTGTAAGCTGCGAGGTTCGGAATAAATTTTAAGGGCACAGGATTAACTTCCTTGAAATTCCGAAGAATTTATAATTTAATCCGTATTTATCTTTCAGTGAGTTGAAACTTATCTGTTGGAGAACTATAAGAGATAACTTTGTGACCCTAACAATTATTGCGATACCCATCTCAGTGCATTCGGTCTATTTTCGTTCCTAAGCCAGGGGGTGCATCTAGAAAAACATAGACACATGCGGCATATTTTTATTGCCCAAAAATACCCATATTTAATAAATACAACGTTGCATTATTTATTTTTCGTAGCCTATCTTTTACACTGGCAGTTGTTAAAGAAACGGTACTTAATCTTTAGAAAATCTTTAAAAGATCCTATGTGACAATGGTAATTTATTATTATGCTATATTCAGGCTCATTGTCAGTAGTAAATTCAATC